AAAAGTTGATGGCGAGCCTCAGGTACATACCAAACGTCCTTCATCGAAGCAGGCAACCATCTGTCACCTATGCGCATCTCGACATCAATTCTGCCAGACCCGTAAGCCAGAATGTATTCCTTGCCCGCTGTCTGGACGCGCTGCGGAATCGGGAACTTCTCGAATGTAGCAAAGTATTGTTTGTTCGTCGACATATGATGCGTCGTACCGGAGTCCGAAATCCAAGAGTCAGCGGGAGCGAAGTCTGCGTTGACTGCCAGGCCAGTGGCGAAGAACGTGCCTGGTTTGCTGTCCTTTTTCGAGTTGGTTTCGGAATCATTTTTGCTGGAGTTAGCGTTCGTTGCCGCTTTCTACTCTGCGTTCACGCGTTTCTGACAATTGGCGATGATATGTCCGACTTTCTTGCAATATAAACACGACCGTTTTTCCTTCTTATGTTCTGTCGAAGCCGGATCTGGTGTTGATTTATTTGGTTTCTTCTGTAAATTCTTCACTTTCGGTCTTGCGTAGAAAGCGCCAGTCGTCTGCGGTGTTCCGTGCGACGCAACCAAATTCTCAATCGAACGCAAATTTTCAATTAATAGCTTCGTCGTTTGCTCGTTTTCCGGAATGCGATACCAAGTTGAACGATAATATTGGTACTCGGGACCGAGCGTTTTGAAAATACGATGGTGAAGCAGCGGTAGCGGAAGTGTAGCATTTGGGTTGCCTTTATGTAATTCGTTAAGAATGTTCTCGAACACGTTCGCTAATCGAGACGTATGTTTTGTAACGGAGGTTGCGTCATCCTTCGACATCTCGAAGAAGCTGTCGAGCAACGTGTATAATCTCTGCAGAGATGACTGTTCAAATACTGACACTAACGTATCCCAAATTTCTTTCGCGTCGGTCTTCTTACGGACATGAAGAGCGGCTTCTTCTTCGAGCGTTGTACCGAGTATTTGAGCCGCACGCGCATTGTCTCGTTGCCAGCGTCGGTACGCTTCCGATGCGGCGACGGCTCCCCGCCGTCCTACGGCCCGTCCGGGCACGACCGCGTGCCATCGACAATCGAATAAAGGCACTGTTCTTTTAAACACAGTTCGATTTGCCATTTCCACGTTTCCCATTGTTCATCACTTCCTAACTTGCGAATGCTCGCCACAAAGCGACTGCTATCGTCTATGTGCTGCTGCACGGAGTCGGCCATATTTTTCTTTCTTCTTCACAGTGATCGTATCAGGGTGCCGATTTGCACGTTATCACCGAAAGCCGAACGCGGATACAACTTCAACGCGTACCCGGGCCCATAACCTGAGGTGGTAAAATGGGTTTCGGTAATAAAACTCGAACGACAAAGTAATATCAACTATTTATTGTATGACCGACATGAACGTGACGGAATCGTGTCTAGAACTAGAACACAGAGCTAGAGCGGTCATATTGCAGCTTGCCAACATAAAATATAGTTTCTAATGATGTCGATAGATGGCGATACAAGACAAGAAAAGAAAAGAGAGTTTTGGTGAAGTTTAGTTACTTTAACAATAGTCTGTGACATTGTACATCTGTGATATTCAA